TATACACCTGATGATGGTCGATAGAGGCCGAAACATGTAGTGTGGAAGAGAACAAGACCAAAGACATATAATATATATTGTTTGCACTTGGGACGGAGTTTGTATCATTTCTTTGAATAAAGTGAGTCTGTGAAAATATATTCTGTAGCGAAGGCCCCAAAGGGCAAAATGTATGATATTACAGTTCAATTGTCAAGTGAAGACGGTAGAATAATATTAAAAAGGATCTTAAAGGAACAAGGTATGAAGATGTGGACTGGAGTAGTGTAGTTCTAGGTAAGGACCCGGAGCATGATCTTATGAACAAGGTAATGAAACTCTGGGTGTGACAGAAGGTGGAGAATTTCTTGACCAGCTAAACAATTACTAACTTCTCAAGAAGGAGTTTAGGTTTGCTGAATGCTTTTCTGGTGAGGCTTGCACATAGCAATAATTATCTTATCTTCACAAAGAATGTTTTTGAATATTACTTCTGTAATTAATTAATAAGTATATATTATGAAAAAAACTAGCTTCACTGTGGGTTCACCACATATATTTGTAAACAATTTATCACCAACTGAAAGGAATAAATAAAAAAGTATACATATAATCATATTTTGGAGTTTTTAGTTAAAAGTATTAAAACAGAGCTCAGCTAATGTAGTAACAATTCATTAACCTTCTGTAGTGCCATTTAAAATGATAAAGTGCAGCACTATCAGCCCCAGATTTTTTCCACGTACTGAAATTTTATATAAGAATTTACTGCATTTTCATTATGATAGAAAATGTATGACCCTTTCAATTGTACTAGGTTCTCCTACATTAAGAGATGCAAAATCACTATTTTCATGTAGATGGAGGATCTAATACAAACCACTGTGTAACATATCTACAAAGAGTAATTCAAATCATATTCTACATATAATTTACCAATAATGCACACAGCTGAGTCCGTCCCTTTTGTGCGGCTTCGTGCAATGGTGTAAAGCCCCATTTATCAGTGGCATTTACCACCGTGTTGAACTTGATTAGCAATGCAGCTATATCCAGATGACCATATGAAGATGCATTATGAAGTGGAATTAGGCCACCTTTGTCCTGAGCATTCACATCAGCACCATGGTCTAGGAGAAACTCTGCTACTTCAAGGTTGTTGTAACCCGCTATAAATAAAAACAAAACATGTATATAATGCAATGTGATTTTTTGAATCTTTCTGATGGTATATCACAATTCATTTTGATTTCTTTTGACTTTTCTAAAAGTGCGATATTTCAGAAAATGAGTCTGGCAAGGAGGAACCTAATCCAGTCGTTTCATTTGAAAGAACTATCTCAGTCACTGGTCCACAAAAACAAAGATTATGTATAAGGTTCAAGGAATTAATAAGGAACTGCTCACTAGTAATGGAATTCCTACACAAAAAAAGGCAAAAACAAACACTGTTAAAACAAATATTTTTATCATGAGTTCAGCAAGTTATTATTCCATTAAGCATTAGAACATCTGGGCTGTTACAATTTCATGAATCTCTTTTGCTGTCTTCTTGAATTTCTCCTCTCCATAGGCTTAGACACTGTAGTCTATTTCAATATTGTTATTTTCCATTCTTCTTACATATTGTTTACAATTACAGTGTATCACAGTATTAGGATAGAGAATAATATATAAATACTATATCAATCATAAAGAAAAAATCCATATATGAGAAAACCAACCAGATAGGTGCAGGGGCATGGAATTGCGCCCTTGAGCATCATGACAGTTGATATTCTCAGATGTCACAAGCCCCTGAACACGAGCAAGATTTCCCTTCTTTGCAGCATCTAACAAGGCAGCACTGCCACACAACAAGTCTGCTACATACTGATCCCCATCACGCACTAAGTCTAGAGGTGTTGCACCATCACGGTTCTTCTTACTGGAGTCTGCGCCATGCTGTTGACATCAAAAAAGCATCAAGTTATACTTGCAAAACAGAATGAACAACACCTATCTTCAAATATCAACACTTCTGTATANGAAGTCCAAGGGTCAATGCCCTACCCTCCTCTTCGTCAATGACGTGGCCGGAAATGAGTCATAAAAGTAATCCGGGTTCTTTATTGCCACACCTTGTATTACTTGGAAATGGGTTACTACTGTATATCAGGTAAACACAATTTCTTTAGCTTTCCGCACAGCAGTTGCATCATCATCCTATTCACTCAGTGGCATGCAGTTTTACACTTCACACATCTCCCATAATTTTACTCATCTTCTACATCATTACTGCACACACTGCCATGTCTGCAGTATTTCAGTGCCACACTACTGCATTTCTCATAAGTTCACCTTGAAACATGCATTTGACATCAACCAAGCCAATCTGTTAACACCTAATGGTGCCATGAGATACTTATATACAGTGAAACTCAAAAGTAATGAGCATGGCATACAGCAATACATTTCTATTTACGAGCACTTTATAATGCACCATCAATTTAATTATATTATGTACAGCAATATTCTTTGA